ACAAAAAAATAATAAAACAAAAAAATGGAAAAGTTAAATAGAGCCGAGGCTCTTAAAAAATCAAATTAGAGCCTACTTCAAAAATTTACTAGAAGAGGTTGTTTTGTTGCTCGAATATCCTCAAATTAATCATCTTGACATCAAGATGCACGGACATGAGAAAAAAAATGGATTTCAAGTTTTGAAAATAATGCATTTTGTAACGTATTTTTGGACCGTTAATTTTCAAGATTATCAAGTTTTCATAGATCGGTTGACCTACACTATTTTTTAAGCTTTAAAAATTATAAATAAAAATAAAAATATATTTCAAGGTTATCACAAAGATTTTCAGTATTAAAACCACATTTCTCGACACTATTTAAAGGTATGCTCTAATTTGATTGTTTAGAGCCTAGTCTCGATAAAAACCGCACCCATAATAAAAAAGAGACCTTTCTACAATTTCTCTCTCTTGTTCTTTCATACAGCCACACCCCACCAAGAACTACCTCACGCCTACTGTTAACCTCCCATCTTAATGCCCACGCTAACACCTGTTAAGGCAAGAATGGGGTTGGGGTTGGGGTTGGAGTTGGGGTTGGGGTTGGGGTTGGAGTCGTGGTGGTAGCATGACTTATGCCCTAGCTAAGGTCTAGCCTTCCATTTTCACCTATTGCATTAAAAAACCACTAACGATTGTAAAAAAAAAAAAAAAGGTAGCAGCTTGTCATTCCCACTGAATTGCCACCTGCTAAGGCCCACTCGAAGACCTACGACGATTCGAATGCCTTGTAGGCCCAACTAAAAACTTCAAACACCTAAGACCAACTATACCTAAGAGCTAAGACCGTCGATAACTTCTGACACCTAAGACCAACTATACCTAAGAGCTAAGACCGTCGATATATACAACAAAACACGTCGTGAACCTTTTTTTTCTTTTTTAGTAATTCAGTGGAGATGTCAAGCCCATGCTGTTTTTTGAAATTGTTAGTAGTCTTTTAATATGTTAGATAAGAATGGAAGCTTAGACCCTAGCTAAGGCACAACCATCAGGACCCCAACCCCATCCTCACACAACCTTAACTTACATCATCTCTAATGTATTTCTCAGTCTAAAAGCTTATCCAAATCTACACCTTACCATTTAAAGGTAAATCTAAATCTACTGATCACTCAAAAATAAGGCAAAAAAATATGGAAAAAATTTACATAAGGTTGCAACTTTAAAATGTAGAATTACATGTGCACCTCAAAAATCTATTGGAAAAAGTTGTTTTAATATTGAAAACCCCTCTAACTGATCATCTCGACATCAAGATGTAGGAATATGAGGAAAAAAAAGATTTTGAGTCTTAGAAATAGTGCATCTCACAACACATTATCTAGACCGTTTATTTTCAATATTTTCATATGTTTATAGATCTACTTGATTTTAATCATTTTTAAAAAGTTTAAAATTTTATAATTAAATATGAAAATAGATCTTCGTATAATCTTAAGAATTTTTTACACCAAAATTATATATTATGATGAAATTTGAAAGTGCGCCTTATTTAAATTGTTTAAAGTTGCAACTTTATAGAAACCACACCCCATAAAATATTATCTTAAATCTTCCTATTCAATAAGATTAGGAAGCACAATAATTAGCGTTATCTAACTAAAATCTAAGTCAAAACAAAACACGCAAACAATCCCTTATTTCCAAGTTGGTCATGGTGACCAAAATCGTCCAGTCTTTCTCTAAAGCGTGCGGGAGTCGGCAATAATTGTCTAACACTTTAGGCTTTTGATTACGCGGAAGTTGGAAAATGGAATTTTTTTTATTGTGGTCATGCTAGACTATATTCTAGCCTTATCTTTTATCAGTGTAATGTTTTTTAGTGGAAAATAAAAGTTTTTCAAGAGTTTAGTCTCTTGGAATTATAAAATAAATTATTTTATTTTACTTTTAAACCTGTAAAAGAAATTTTGTATTTTTTATAATATATTTTTATATGATGTTATACTCATGGTGGTTTGTTTGAGGCCGAAGCTCTAAACAATCAAAGTAAAGTGCACCTTCAACTTATATCAAAAGATGTTGTTTCAGTACCAAAAATATTTACGATAGTTTTTCCCCTTTAATTATAAAATTGAAAGCTTTAAAAATAGTGTAGATCAAGCAAGATCTATGAACATTGGAAAATATTGAAAATTGACCGTCTAGATAATGCATTACATGATATACTATTTCCTAGTTCTTGTCCATATATCTTAAGGTCGAGATGATCAGATTTAAGGGTTTTTCAACATCAAAACTTCTAGTGAATTTTTGTTTTGTGTGCGCCTTAGTTTGATTACTTAGGGCTCCAATCTTATCTAAATTGTTTCCTTAATTAATAGATATATGTGAAGGGGTAAGTACACAAAACCCCCCATTGCTCTCACCATGCTATTTTTTGCATGTAATCTAATTACATTGTTACTATTTGGAACCTATGGTTTTTTCTTTTTCTTTGGTCGAAACACAAAACCATACCTTCTAAGGTATTTCTTGAGCACGACATGGTCTAAGAACCAAACTTTATATCGTGCATTTTAAAAGGGTGCGGTTTGTATAGAGCCTAGGCTCTAAACAATCAAATTAGAACCCACCTTCAAATAGTGTTGAGAAATGTGGTTTCAATACTAGAAATCTTTTTAATAGCCTTAAAATATATTTTCATCTTTATTTATAAAGCTTAAAGCTTCAAAAATAGTGTAGATTGAGAGATCTCTAAAAACTTGAAAATTGACGTTCCAAAAATGTGTTACAAACTACACTATTCTAAAACTTGAAATCCATTTTTTTCTCATATCCATGCATCTTGATGTCGAGATGATCAATTTGAGGATATTTGGGCATCAAAACAACCTCTTCTAGTGAAATTTTTGAGGTAGGCTCTAGTTTGATTGAATAGAGCCTCGGCTCTATATAAACTTTTTCCCTTTTTAAAAATTTTATAACTTAAATTTGAATTTTTTTGTCTATTAATTGATTTTAGGACAAAATTTATAAAAAGTTAAAATCTTGCACTATAGAAATAAGGTGCACATCCAAATTTTAGTAAAAAAGAGTACTCACAAATTGGAAAACCTTCTAATTGATCATCCTAGCCTTTAGATATATGGATATAAAGAAAAAAGGAATTTCAGGTTCTAAAATTGATTCATCTTGTAACAAGTAATTTGGATCGTCTATTTTCAAAAATTTCGAGTGTTAATAAATACGCTCAATTTGCAATGTTTTAATTTCCTTAAATTAAGGCTGAACATAGATTTTTAATCCATTGTATTGTTTCTAATATTGAAATTGTATCTTCTGGCAAAATTTAAATACACGCCTTCGTTATACAATTCAAGGTTGGCACCTCGTACAAACCTCACCCTTAATTTTATTACTCACTTATAGATTTTATTTTATAATTGTAATTTAATAAATGTAAATAATTCAACTTTTAAAAATTTATTTTGTAATTTTATGCTCATAAAAAGGAATTATTTTTAAAAAGTAAAAGCGATTCAACTTTTTAAAAAATTAACCTTTAGTTTAAAGCTTCTAAAATATATATTTGAGAAATAACATGAATATAAAATTTAGCCTTTAGTTTAAATAATTTACTTTATAAAATGTATTGTTAAAATAGTGGTCTTTACTGCCTTTCCCATTAAACGTGTTGGTTATTTTGAAAAAGAAAAAAAAGATAACGGTACATTTCTTTTACTTTTGGCCTTGTCCCCTATTGAGTGACGCATCACATCCACAAGACCTAGCAAAAATGTAAAAGTGGGGCCTAAAGTGCTCCCTTAAAGCATACTACATCATTGATCTGCCTGGAAAATTTATTTAATAATATCTTGAGTAATGATTTATAGATCTAAGATTTAGATATCTATACTTTTAAATAAATATTTTTAAAAATTAAATTTAAATTTTCAATAAAACTTTTAATAGAGGATTCATGTAGCCAAAGGACCATACAATATTTAATGGTATACAACTATTAGTTATACAACTCAAAAGAGAAGATATTATTATCAGTTGGGGATTGTATACAATGAGACCATATACTTTTACTGTAAAGAAGTCACAATTATTTACAATTATGAAATCTGATAGGTTGGGTGTATTACAAAATTCAAAAAAATAATCTTTTAAACTTTGAACTTGGTAAATAAAATAAATGCAACCACCCAATTTCACATCTAATGGTTGATTTTACACCCATTAATCGAACCTTATGGTGTTTATTTGACTTTATAAGGACTCTCCGAACCTACATTTTCTTAAAAAATATTGTTTCATGCAGGCTGGACCGCATTTCTATATGTGCGGTCTAGAAAGTGTAACGTATCCATCTTAAAGATGGATGCAAGTAGGTGTTCCATCTAAAAACAATGAAAACTAACGGTCCAAATGTTTTTTATCATAACTATTATTTTTATTATTTAAAATTTATTTATTTATTCATATTCATCATCTCCATGTTAGAGATTGCATGTCCTTAAAAATTAAATCTTAAAATCCATCTCAAAAATAGATTTATGAAGAGGCTCGCATTTCTACATATGCGGGCTTGGCCGCATAGAAACCAGATCCTTTTTAGGAAGGGTGCAGTTAACATATGGATGCATCTTTAGCTAAGGAGCATCTTCAAATTTTATCATGGTATATAACTTTGACGTAAAATGTTTTTAAGATTATCTTAAAATTTATTTTTATATCTAATTATAAAATTTTAAATTTAAAAAATTGTTAAAATCAAGTGGATCTATAAACCTACGAAAATCTTGAAAATAAATGGTGTAAATAATATATTGTAAAATGTACTATTTTTTAGATTTAAATTTTTTTTATTTTTCATTGTCTACGTCTCGATGTCAAGATGATTAATCAAAAGGCTTTTTATCATTAACGCGACCTTTTCCGATGGATTTTTGAGTGCATATCTAGTTCTTACGGTTGCATCCTTAAATAAACTTTTTCCTTTTTTGAAACTTTGATATATTTGTTGAACGCCACGTTTCAGACCGTTGCAGTTTTATATAATTATATAAATTCTTTCCTTATTCTTTTTTAAAGTCTCTCGGTTTTCTTCACTCTTACACCCTCGCAAGAAACTCAAAAGAAACAATCTCGAATTCTGCAGTTTTTTTTTTGAAATTTTATCTCGAAGATTTCATTCATTCTTGGGCGCTCTTTCTCTCTGATACATCACGCGATCCTTCGCTGTGCATTTTCTTATGTTCTGTTTTATTTTATTTTTTTATATTTGTTTCTGAGATCTTATTTTTGTCCCTCGACTGAATTCAGGTATCTTCGGCCCCTTTTGATTTGTCACTGAATTCTATGGCGTTTAGGGCTTTTAACCATGAAACCAGAAGATTGCTTTTGAGAGAATGGGGAAATGGGGGTGATTCTAGAGAACATACCATGTTACCCTCTACAAGAATTGTGGTATTTCATTGCTTTTGATCGTTTATTTTTTGTATTTTTAGAGGTTAAATTCTTCTGAGAAATACCCAAATTATGGTATCGGTTATCCCTTTCTAAACTATTTCCTGTATATTTTAAGAGTAAATACGAGAATCGAATTTCTGCCCATTCAGATTGAGACCGTAATCTATCATTCTGTCGTTTTGGAGTTTGAATTCATCGTAATCTATCTTTCCGTGGTTTTGGAGTTTGAATTCATGGTAAGAAAATCGTTGATCTTTTTTGTTTCTTTTGAAGAAAATAACTACCTGCAAAGTTTACAGGGGTTCTTTTGGGTTTATATGATATTTGGTTTTCCATTTTTCTTTAGATATTTCCGGGGGAAATGTCTAGTTGGTTGTTTGCAGTGTGACCCGTAACCTAGTTTTCTGAGACTTCAAACTTTAAAGTCCTTAGAGAAATACGCACTTCTTTTTATCGAAAAAGAATTTCTGCATATTTTTCATGAGTTATTTTCATGTGGTTTTCTTGATGATAAGTTGTGATCATGCAGGGAGATCGGTTCATCCCTGTTCGGGCTGCAATGGACATGGATGTCTCCTCATATTTGCTGCGATCAAAGAATCGGAATAGTGAAATGGTGGTTTCACCATCTAAGGTTAGTTCTCATTAGCAGAATATAATGTATTTAGAAACTGTCTCATGGAGAGGAGTTTAGATGAACTGTCTCATGGAGAGGAGTTTGGGTGAACTGTCTCATGGAGAAACTCTAAGAATGATGCTGTAATACACCAACTTGTGGTCTTCTAGTTAGTCATGCAAGTTTATTGGTTAGGCAAAGTATTCCTGGCAAATTTATGTTGCAATTATCCTGGGGAATGCTAGGTAGTAACATAAAATGCCTTTATACTGGTAACCATGATATGGATTAAAATGTAGGTAGGTTTTGTAGGAATGCTCTGTAGCAAGAGGACATGTAAACCTAATTGAGAGTTCTAAGCTGGAATTTTCCAATTTTAAAAAAACAATCTCTAGATTGTAGTTAGGTATGGTGTTTCTTTTATTGTTTCAGTGTTTCAGGATCTGCAACTTCATGTACAATATGCAATGAACACGATGGCTAAGTTTCAAGTAAATAAGGATAGCTTCTTGGTATAGTTTCTGTCTGGCATAAGATGAATTTGGATTCCAAGAATGCTTGGATCACAATATGGCTTTAGATTCAAAGACCTTAAGTTTTTTATAGGAGATTATTTTCAAATATACAATGCATATATATTTCTATTATTATCCTCCAAGATCTCCTTGGAGCCTAATCTGATTAGTGGAATCTTTCTAAGAATCTTATTCCTTAAGTTTGATATTTTCTGGAAGTCCGAAACCCAAGTCACAACCATAAAAAGATTGTTTCTTGAATTTATCAGATCTGGTGCATTTCCCTCATTTTACATTTCTGATGCCTACGAATTGCCAAGACCTTTATTCAATATTTTTTATGTTTCGACTAATGAAAGCTTGTGCTGATTTAGTGGAATTCAATGGATTATCTAGGATATGAAATTTGAATATGCTGTATTGAGGCCAAATCAAAGTCAATAATTTTGTTATTTATAGATCTGGTGTATTGTGTTCATTAGTTTCTGATGTCTGACAAATTTCTATGACTTTGTTGTTCAAAACATGCAGGAAGAGTATCGGAAACGGCTTGCTAATATTGTGTTAAAGGATCACAACACTTCCGAAAATCATACTCGAATCTTACAATTTCATGCAAAGCCTTGCAAACGCAAACAAAGCAGTGCTTTAGCTGATGATGAAGAACTGCTCCAAATTCCTAAGAAACCACGTAAATTGCTTCGCCATATTCCACAGGTGAGGATGATTTTATCTAAGTGCATTGGGATACAAATTGTGATCAAATATGGGACTTTCTAAATTTAATCCAGAGGACTATGGAAAACCATGGTCCTTAAGGTCATCAGTGTCCATTTTTTTGGAGGTCCCTTTCTCTCTCCATCACTAACCATCACTTTAATGTATTGAATTTTTCTACTGTTCTTAGAAGTACTATATACTTCAATATAAATTTGAATACTAGTATGTCTTGGAAAACAAAGAAAAAATAAAGGATACAAGTTGTGCTCTAGTTCAAATGTATTGATTCTCTTTATATAGACAGCTGAACGCACTCTTGATGCTCCGGATATTGTGAATGACTACTATCTCAATTTGCTCGACTGGAGCACAACAAATGTTGTGGCAATTGGCCTTGGGAATACTGTGTATTTGTGGAATGCTTCCAATTCTGCAATAAACGAGCTGACGCAAGTTCACGAAGATGATGGGCCAATTACAAGTGTTGCATGGGCTCAAGATGGGAATCATATTGCTGTTGGTTTGAACAATTCTGAAGTTCAAATTTGGGATCACTCAACAATGAAAAAGGTAGGTGCCATAAACTGTTAGGTCTTGTAAAAAGAGTATTCGGGTTTTTCTTCCCAAAAGTTAATAGTGTATTGCTGGATTGGAATTCTTCAGGTGAGATCCATGAGGGGCCATTCAGCTCGTGTTGGATCATTGGCATGGCATGGGTCCACATTATGCACAGGTGGTCGTGATAGCAAAATATTGTATCATGATGGTGAGTTGATAAACTTCTAATTATGTACTGGCAAAACCATTTTTGCCAATAAAGAATTACACATCAGTGGCCTTTTTTGTTTAGGAAACAATATAGCTAAGAGCAACCTATTCAAACAGTCCCTTGCTTGATTTTTGTAATTGTACTCCCTCTCTCTCTCT